GCGGCCGCTGACACGGGGCGCCGGCTGCCAACTTCGCGCGCGGAGCTCCCCGGCGGTGCGGTCCCGGCGGCACGGGCGGCATGAAGACTAGCCGCCGCGGCCGAGCGCTCCTGGCCGTGGCCCTGAACCTGCTGGCGCTGCTCTTCGCCACCACCGCCTTCCTTACCACGCACTGGTGCCAGGGCACGCAGCGGGTGCCCAAGCCAGGCTGTGGCCAGGGCGGGCGCGCCAACTGCCCCAACTCGGGCGCCAACGCCACGGCCAACGGTACCGCCGCCCCCGCCGCCGCCGCCGCCGCCGCGGGGAACGGCCCCCCTGGCGGCGCGCTCTACAGCTGGGAGACCGGCGACGACCGCTTCCTCTTCAGGAATTTCCACACCGGCATCTGGTACTCGTGCGAGGAGGAGCTCGGCGGGCTCGGTAAGTGAGCGGCGCCGCCAGCAGGCTCGGCTTCGGCTCCCGTGCGGCCCCGGCGGCCCGAGCCCCAGCCCCAGCCCCAGACGCGCGCTCCCTCCTCCCGGCAGGGCGAGGGGCCCCGCGCCGCCGCCGCGACACGGTTGCCGGCGCTCCGCAGGGCTGGGGAATCGTTCGGGGGAGGGAGGCGAAGGACGCGCGTTTGCAAGGTCCGGGGGCCAGAATGTTGGGCGTCCGGGACGCCCTGCGTTTGAAGGTTCGAGGCAGAGCTCCGGCCCCTTGGAACGCCCGCTGGCGGCTTAGGGGACCTTGCCGCGCGCTGGGAAGGTGCGTCTCCCAGGAACCCACCCCAGCTGCCGGTCGGAGGGCGCGCGTTCCTCTTCAAAGCCTGAACTCATCTCCATGCTCACCCCCTCCTCTTCCTCTTGCGGGGCACTAGGTACCCTCACCGACTCCAGGGCGTCTTTGGGGGTGGCGCTGGTGCAAGGACTCCTGCTAACGAGCCACCCCTCCCACAGCAGATCCTCAGAATCAGGAACCAAGGGGGTCATTCTTTTACCAGACGGAAATGGAGAGTGGAGGGAGTCCCAGGAAGCCAGACCCGCCCAGAGGCACCCCTACTACTAGAAGCCAGGGAGCCCTCTGTGCCTGGACCCCCTTCCGGGAAAGGATGCGACTGGAGAGAAAGAAGGCAGGTGGGAAAAGGGGACAGCTCAGTGAACTCCAGGTCATGGAGTCTGAGGGTCTTAGCTTAGCCCAAGACTGCAGTCAGAATGGGGGGCTGACTTTTCAAAAGACAGATCAAACTGCCCCCTTGTCTGTATCCCTTTATCTGCCCTCAGAGGCAACCAGGGCTGGAGAGAGCGTCCAGAGGCAGACAGCTAGGCAGTGGCAGGGCTCAGGGGACCGCCCCCCTGACAGCCGCTTGGCCAGATTTTGGGTGGTGCTGTCCCATGAAACCCGGTGCCTTTGAGGGGATGTTGCTCCACTGCAGGTGTGGGGTGCCTTCTGAGTGAATTGACCTCTTTCTCCAAGGTTATAACTCCTCCATGCCTGCATAGCTTTACCCTGAGAATGGGAGTGGACGCCAATCCATAGTTTGCCCTGAATAAGCCATTAGCTTAAGTGGCTTAAAGGACAGAAGGAAGAAGGTGCAAACCCAGCAAGGAGCTCCAGGCCTTTGCACTAGCTGCTCCCTCTTCCTAGGGCTCCTCTCCAGTCCCTGTACTTCCCTAGCTGGCTCCCCTTTAGCTCTGGTGGGGCTCTTCTTCTTCTCTGGAGAGAAGACCTTGGGACCCCACCCTTTGGAAGTAGGGTGTCTCAGTCTTTGGATCTCACCACTGCCTTTATCTCCTCATGCTTGGCACAACTTGACATTTTCTAGCACCTGCCTTTGGTCACAAGCTTGTTACCACTCTCCCCATGGGATGTCCCTCTGTGAGAGCCAGGCAGTGTGGGTCTCATTTACAGTTGCTCTCACTGCCTCTGGGTAGTGTCTAGCATATAGTAGGTTTTCGATAAGTATTTGCAGGTTAGATATTGGATAAGGTCTTGGCACAATGGACCCCGGGAGGCTTCCCAGGGTGCTGATGGCTCTGGCTCAGTTCTAGGGGTATCCACCAGAACTTTTCTGTGACTCTACTTGAACCCTGTCTGCCATTTGAGAAAGATACATGTGTTTGAATAGGGTCCTGTCCCCAACCAGTTCCATCCCACCAGACTCTCTGGTTGGTGTACCCCAGTGTGCACTCAGGACTTGAATATTTAATGTGAGACGTTACAAAACATATTAACTTTAAAGGCATGTTGGCTAAAATTCCCTGCCTTCTACACAGCCCAACCCTAACCTCTCATACAGAGGCCTTGCTGTTGGGAACACCTGTGTCCTTCAAGATAGAGGTCTCTACACATCTTTCTCCAAGTTCAAGATGTTTCCAAGGTTCGGGATTTAACACCTCTGTCTCTTGCCAAGTTTCTCCTTTGCGTAGAATCCCAGCCTCCTTGCTCTCTTCCTTTGTGTACACACTTGAAAATACAACACTGTGTCTTGCACTGGACCTGTCCTGTCCCTTCCTCATGGAGTGTCCTGGCCCAGGCTGATCAGCTGAGCCTCTTGATGGTTTGAAGTCTCTCCTGGCTGCTTCCTGAAGGTCATGGCCCTAATGCTTGCAGTTATTTCTTTGTAGCTCAACTAGGGCTTGACTTGGGATATTTAAACCTGAGTGATTAAAAAAAATATTAATTGAAAAATATTGAAAAACGTTAGCTAATGTTTTTAGCTAACATGGAGCCCCTAAGCTGCTCCAGGCCCTGTTAAAAGTTTTCACCTCCCAAATCTGGGTTGCTGCCTTTGAGGTAGACAATTCTAGGGGGCTCAATTTTTCAGGTGAGGAATTTGAGGTTCAGAGAGGTTTCTGACAAGAGAGCCTGACTTGTCTTCTCGAGAACAGAAAAGAATCAGAGTGAAGGGATGGGGAAGAGAATGGTGCAGGTGGGGGAGGTCAGAGAAGGAGCCATTTGGGGGGCCCAGCTAAGACCTTCACTCCCACGCCTCTGATAGTTACAAACATGGATCTCTTAATTTGTTGGGTAAATAAAACAAATTCGCAATTTTCTCTTGGCCACTGTTAGCTAGAGATGATCCCTCCCAGAAAATCACAATTTTCCTCTCTGGGAGCTTGGAAAATAGTTATCAGCTTGTCAGTGCTGGTGAGAAATTTGGGAGGTACAAGCCAGCTGAGGTGGTTTCTGCTGCCAAAATCCTGCCTTTTATACCGCTGCGGTCCTGAAAGGGTGTTAGAAGTACCTGGCCTCAAACTTGTGTTGCCACGACAACCCTTTTTGTGAGTTCTGTGACCAGTTAATTTTTTTAAAGTGAAGAGGAAAAAACACCCCAACAACCCCTTGAACAAAATCCTACCTCCCACCTCCAAACATCGAGGATAAACTTCCTTCCCACCCTTCCCATGAAACTACAGGCAAAGCTCTCTTCCCTTCTTGGCGTTTTACATACACCCAAATGAAAACACCAACCAGCGAATCCTAACCTCTCTGTGAAAAGCAGCTGCTAACTGTTTCTTCCTCTCAAACGCCTGTTCGCCTGTTCGGTAATTTCTTTCTGTGCTCAGAAAAACCTCTCCCCACTTTGGGCAGCCACAGGGAAATCTAATAAGCCCTTTTTCTCACACTAAAAATCTACAGCATTCACAAAGAAAACTGCAGCCTGCACGAAACAGACACACTTTCACCAGACCCGGCACAAAGGAACCTTTTCTCCTTCCTCCAAGAAGGAGCATCGGCATCTTTCCTCACACAGAAAGGGAAGCGTGGCCTTGACACAGAATCACCCAGAGCCCTTCACACAGATTGGATTTCTCTTCTGGTTTAGATGCTAGGGAAGGTTGGGGTGGGGGCAGATGTGGGCATTCTGGGGAGTGGGGTCAGATGTGGGCATTCTGGAGAGTGGGGGTGGGGGCAACAGAGGAGAGGCCTGGAGGAGGGAAGAATGCAGGTCTGGGGGTGGGGGTGATGGTGAGGCAGGTGGGAGCTTGTGCCAGCCGGGGAGGGGGGGGCACAGGTGACATTTGAGGGTGTTGGGCCCACATGTTGGACTTCATTCTGCACCCATTTGAGCCTGAGTATATGGGTGGCTTGGGAAGAGTGGCCAGCAGGATCTCAGGGGTAGGGAGTTGTGAGGCTGCCTGGAAGGAGGTGGGATTAGAGAGACAAAAAGGGAGAGACTGGTCATAGGGCCAGGCAACAGGGTGGAGCCAAAAGATACATGTGGGACCCAGGCTGCACAGTGACTTTGAAGGAGAAGCATGTTTCCACTGGACTCTAAAACCACTCTTGTAGAACAGGTTGAAGTTCAAGGCCAGGTGCCACCTCTCACTAGCACTGTGGCTTTAAGACAGAGCCACCCTCATTTGCCCTGTAGATGGGAGCAGTGATATGAGGAGTCAGCGAACACCCTGGGCACATTCTGGCCTTAGGGCCTTTGCACAGGCCGTCCCCTCTGCCTGGAATACTCTTTCCCCAGACATGTCCAAGAGCATTTTCCACAACTTCAAGTCTGTGCTTAGCTCTCTCCAGCCACATTTTCTGCTTAACGTTTATTCAAGCACGTCCTGTGCCGGACCTCACCTCAGTGCCTCTGTTGTTATTTTGTGTTTGTTAGCCAGCTCCATAAGGCGGGCATGGATCTTTCACTTGCATTGCCTGCTGCTGCCTCCTCAGCACAGAGTAGGTGCTCAGTGGATATTAGTGGAATGCACTTTGGTGGTGGTTATTATTGCTTCTCTTAGGATCTGGTTCTTTCCCCAGGCTGGGGTGGGGGCTGACAGGGTTCCTCTCCCCTTCTAGTGAGGTCCCCTCTACGCATCCCCACTCCTGTGTGAGTGAGCCTGGGAGAAGACCCCCGTTAGCCTCCTATGGCTCTTGCCTCACCTTCTTTTTCTACAGAGAACCCCAGCTCTTCTACCTTGTCCCCTAAATTATCTGCGACATTTTCACTAGTATAAGGACCCGTGGGATGTCCTCAACCAGGAGGTTTCTAGTGCTTGGGAATATGTTGGTGTAATATTTGGATGTATTTCTTTGCTTTAAATTTTTTTAAATTTTTGGCTTAGCGCCTGTAGCTCAGTGGCTAGGGCTCTAGCCACATATACCAGAGCTGGCGAGTTTGAACCCAGCCCAGGCTGGGAAATTAAAAAAAATTTTTTTGACTTCTTTTAAGACAGTGTTTTTTGTTTTACTTTGTTTTGTTTTGTTTGAGACGAAGTCTCTGTCATCCTGGGTACAGTGCTGTGATGTCATAGCTCACAGCAACCTCAAATTGCCAAACAGCAATGACAATTACAACAAAAAACTAGCTGGGAGTTGTGGCAGTTGCCTGTAGTCTCAGCTACTGGGAGGCTGAGGCAAGAGAATCTCTTAAGCCCAAGAGTTTGAGGTTGCTGTGAGCTGTGATGTGACAGCACTCTACAGAGGGTGACATAGTGAGGCTC